CAAATACCATAAACGTGGAACATTGTATGGCTAATGATTATTGTTTATTTTTTATTCAAGTGTTACCAGAAAATAGTACAACATTCCTGACTGCCATTAACAGCACTAATGCAACTAAAAATGTAGAACTCAAAGTTACCACAGGGTGTGTCTACCCGGCTGACAGCGTCCAGTTCGAATGGTTATATTACAAGGTAGGTTATTTCATACAAATGTTTCATGTATTAATTTAAAGGGTTCCGGGTATCTACCGAACAATAATCGAGCATATTCTTTTACTATATAGCTTATAAATAAGTGATGCAAACATTCAACTTTTACAGGAAGATATTTTCACCATTTCCTTCTGTAAAAATACCGGTAAAATCAATTAATGCGTTCTTAACAAAAGAAACTGTTTTGTTTTTAACCTGAATGTAATGCCTATTTACTTTTTCTTAATAATGTTCTCTTTACCTTTTCTTTACACTCTTTCTTTATGTTAGTACCTCACAAAATTTCTTTACACATTTTATTTGTACTCTGTCTTTATTCTCTTTCATATACTCGTTCGTTATACTGTTTTCGTTTTACTCTTCCTTTATACATTTTCTTTATGTTTTTATCTCTTTACATTACTATACTCTGTCTGGTAACTTTGCTTTTTATATTCGTTTTACTAAATTTTATACATCGTTCTCTATACTTTTCCTAATACTCTTTCTTTATACTTTATATCCTTTCTTAAACTTAATCCTTTTCTTTAAACTTTTCCTTGATACTATTTCATACTATTACCATTTCCTTTATACTCGTTATTCATTCTCTTTTTACCCGTTATAAATACTCTTTATTCTCGTTATAAACACTCTTTATTCTTACACTCTTTATTCTCTCTTTCTTTACACTCGTTGTTCATACCATTTCATTACACTTTTATACTCGTTTTATACTCGTAATTTATTCTCTTTTTAACTCGTTATTGATACTCTTTCTTTAGAACTAATATCAAACTTTACGTATTCTAGGAAGGCGAAGATCCAATACCTTACACGTTTGGAGACCAGGTCGACGGTCCGGCTAATGATTCTACGACTGACTGTACAAGTGGGGACTGTGGGGGTGACGAGGTCAAACAACTCGAAAGTACACTCACTTTCGAGCATGATGATGAAGGGGAGGACTTCTTTTTCCAGGCTGTTGTTAAATCGACTGATACCACGGATACAATCGTCTTAAATGTGAACTCTACATATAAATTCAAAGGTAAATTTTTGTATTCACTATGGTGATTGGTTTGTACCATGTCGTATGTTTTGCACCACCAGGCGCCAGGCGAAAACACAAAAAAACGACCGAGTGGTTTTCATGTTTTCGTCTGTCGCCTCGCGTAGCCAAACTACTATGTTGCACAAATCAGCCCCCATTATCTAAACAATGCTTTTATTTTTACAGCATTTATTATGAATGGATGAAGTGATCAACGTAGCAAAGGTGCAGCTGATTCATATCGAACATAAACTTGTCCTTAACCATGGCACGGATACACAATTGTGTTCGGTCTAAAATTTCGATACTTAAATTAATGACTGACAACTCTTGTAATACTGAGTAAAAATACTGCAATAATTATTTCCCTTCTTCATGCAAATGTTGTAACACTATATTCTTACCTGTTCGTTTCTCTTCCTTGAAGTAGGAAAAACAACTGAGCGATTTTAATGCATATTTTCTATAGTTTCAGGAAGGATAATCTCAACAGTGTTCAGTGGCCTCGGCACAAAAGTTGGTCTCGTCGTAACGTTAGCTCTGATCGGGGTTGTTATCGTAGTCATCACCGTCATCATCTTTGTCGTCCTCGTTGCTAGGAGCAAAAATGATCCCGAAAAGCACCGAATCTTGGGAAACTAAGTTAATGAAGACATAGATGTTAAATTAATTCTTGATTCTTTTTCTTTATCACTTTTATTATATCTTTCTTCTTTTGTTTGCCTTTCCTATATCAAATGTTTGTTTTCTGTATCAATATTACCAATGTCGTATGTATCCTTAATCAAACTTTTTTGTTTTGTTTTTAATCTGAATGTAAAGCTTTTACCTTTATAGATAAACAAAAGATTACATTATATGTAGTCATGGTAGATATTAATATGTAGTAATTATAAAGATTTAGAATAACAGGTGGGTTTTGAAGTATATTTGTGTAACAATATGTTATAGTTAGTAGCATTTCTAATATTAAAGATTATTTACTCTAACACGACTCCTTATTATATTAACACTTATTTATTTCTATTAACACCTCCTCTCTCCAAACTGTCACAAATGGAAACTTCTAACCGTAGAAAAGTCTAGGTCGGATGAATTTTGAGACAAAAGTAGGTCATTGTGATAGCGTTCAATGAGTACCTTAATGCACGGCACGGTAACCAGTGACAATAATGAAGGTTAGCCCTGAAAATGGTTGTTTGTGCCAGGTAAGGGCGCTGCCACTCAAGCCCTCTTTTCGTACTAGAAGCTTATGCAGCCTTTTACCCTTTCTCGTCGTCCCTGCCACATTTTCGGGCGACTTCTCTTCGATAAAGTCAGGACATCACCAACAGAATCATAGACTGCGATAGAAGCTTAACTCTCCAGAGACGAAGGGCTAGTTTTGTCTCCAGGTACTACCCTATATGTACATTAACCGAGCTGGGATCTTAACCAGTCAGCTTGCCATTGGTATGTTTTTACCAAAGCTCCAAATCTTCTCACAATGTCATTTGCCTTCAAAGAACAAAGTTATCCATATTGTGCCAAGATTGCCTAAATTATACACACTTTTGTCTTGTTTGGTGATAAAATGTGTGGCTTACCTGTAGTACTTACTGTTGGTTTTTTAATTGGTACAAAATAACTTTAAATGGATAAAGACCTTAGCTGTTGAAATGAAATATTTTTCTTCCCCCGGTATGAAATATTCAGGGTATATTGTTTTTGTCTGTGTTGCAGTCATTCTGTCTGTTCTGAAACATACACCTTGACCATCCGAGGGCGAGTCAATATGTAATGCAATATGGTGAATAAATTTTAAGAAGCAAATATTTGACAATTTTCTATTTCAACCCGTCAAAACTTATCTCCTCCTATACTATATACATACAAAGTTTCAGACGTTTTATTAGATTCTAAATGCTTCAACAAAGTCTTCTTTAGGTATTACTCTCAATGACTGAAAATTGGCCGATCAAAGATCATTTCTACTCTTGTAGAGACGAATTACAATGTGTTTTGTTCAGTTAAGGAAAACGAGGAAAACGTTACAGGCTGCCAAGTTTGTAGAAAACGGTGGGTGTTTAAGAACACTCACTCGTTTTTCTTGATAATGACTCCTTTGTGTGCAGTCGCGTTGTCATGCAGAAAATACAGACAGGCCTTTCAGAACAGTGGAAGGACAAACTTTATTGAAATGTTTTTAATCTGTCTTAACACGGCATCTCTATAACACTTTTATGTGACAGAATAGCCTCTGAAAGCAGAAATTTGGACTACAGTTTCAAAAGTACATGTATTGAAATAAAAAACGCACCAAACTTTCTTGACATCTGTCAGTCGCTTGGCTATGCTAGTCAACGAAAAATTTTGGTTGTCAAAATTTTATTGTTACGCTTTCGAACAGTCTCGAGGTTTTATGTAGATGTAAGCTCGTGGTTCAAAACTTTTAAGTGAGTGTTTATCGACCATATTGTTCCATTTAGTAACTCTTGTAGGGAATTTTAACATGTGAAGTAAATTCTAAATTGGTTTACTACACAATATCATTTGAAATCACATGCCTAAAAGCATAGCATTGTTAACACAAACACAATAATCACGAGCTAAATTATGAAATACACTTCATATTGCATTACATATTGGCCCAGCCTCGTAAAATTAAAGTGTTTCTACAAATTGACCTTCAAAGTTCATATGTGCATGTATGTCAACGAGATCTACAACCCGTGTCTATTTTGTTGTCGGTAGAGCAAAGATCATCGTGACTTTCTTTTCCACCATTAAAAGAAAATAGGATCTTCAAATTGCATTATCTGGATATTCCAGACTCTAGCTCAGGCACTTTTCGAGGTACACGTGACACGTGACACAACATTCAAGGAAATCCACAAATTCTATTATACAAGCACAACCCCAGGTGCACTTAAAGTAAAGGTCCATGTCTAAAAGTAAACTGTATACGCATTTAATGGTTTGGAAAGTTTATTTTGTAATATGAAGAATTCAGATGTCAAATAACATTGTATCTTCTATTAATTTCTAGATTTGGGATATAAATGTTTGTGACATAAACGCCCCAAACTATTGCGCGGTATTTAGGTAGTTCTTAAAATATTTTTATTAACTATTTTGTTTTACAATGTATTCAATAATGCCTTAATTTTAACGAATGTTCCACTTCAAATGCATACTAATCTACTTGTATTTGTTTTTAATGATATTTTAATTGTGTTTTGCCTTCCATATTCTTTATTACAAACCGCTTTATGTGAAATGTTTAATTCCTAATTGCAATTATAATATCATTATGCTACACGCAGTATGCTTACACTGAAATTGATTACGAACCTAACTGCAAAATACAAAAAAATATGGCCCTCCAATGCTATCATATGTTTCCGCCTTCACTTTGTTTAATAACCCAAATTTACATAAGGTGTTTATTTCCTTGGCTGTTCAGACATTAAAGAAATAAATTAAGCAAACAATTTGACCGAGCATGCAATACCTCACCCGCTTATGCAAATCTTCGCTGTATACATTAACTTTACAACTAGCAATATTTAATTTCAAACAAACCTATTTAATTGCTTTAATATCTAATTATTTGACAACTTACATCTGGTTCTAAGAATCAATATGTGTATTAAACTATTGCTTTAAATAATGAGAATAATTCCAAGAAATTAAGATTTACTCGATCGACAATGCATCTAAAAACATCTAAATATTCAATGCTAGATTAGGTGCTACATGTGGAAAGGTTAGACAGGATGACTGACAAGACATCTAGTTTCGATATCAGGTGAAATTCGGCATTTAATGAGATACGGTTATAAGTCTGATGCGACAGTTGTTCAAATTCAAAATTTGGTTAGGAATCGATTAAAGATCTGATATTGTCAGTTTCGCTAGCAGGTCAGATGCGACACTTGATTATGTATGGTAAAGGGTGCAATGTGACATTTGGTTAGTTTTGCTAATATGTAACATGCGGCATTTCGTTAGTTTTTTTTTCTAAAGGTCCAATGCGATATTAAATAAAGTTTTCTAACAGGTTAGACATTCATATAAGTTTGTTAACAAGTTATATGCGACATTTAGCCAGGTTAAAGAGAAAGTTACACTTATTCAGTATTCCACATGTACAGACTCAATCAAACCGAGTTTGCAATTCTCTTGTAATTGTGTTGTGATTAATGCTTCCGAGGGATCACTTAGTTTCCAGATTTTTGAATTTAAGTATGGCCTATTAACAGGTCTGGTGCGACATGTACATCTGATTGTGATTCGTTAACTATTCTATGTGACATGTCATTATTTTACTCATGTCTAATATGCGACATATGGTTAGTCTTGCTGCAGGTCCGATGCGATATATGGTTAGGTTGGCTAACAGTACTAAAAAGACATTTAGCAAATTTTACTAACGTTCCAGATGTAACATTTAATTAAGTTCGCTTACAGGTCAGATGCGTGGCAACCTCTGGCATAAATCAGGGAAACAATTATATTAAATTGATATTAAGAGGAAGGTATGAAACTGGCCTTATTGAAAAGATAGACAGGCACTGGGACAAATTGCGCAAATTCAGATATAAATAAAAAGATTTTATAAGTTTAGGCTGAAGTAAGTTAGTCCTTTCGCTTCATGTTAAAAGAGTGTTCTTCATTCTCGTAAGGGACATGCAGATGTCAGAAAGCATTAAATAGAATGGAGAGTTTTATTTTTAATTCTTCGAGAAAATAGTTTTACGGGAATTCGAAAGATGATCAGCAATAAATTATTGTTGAATCTGAATAAAGGTAAGGTCATCTAGTCGAAATAAGTATCATCTGATGATTCTAAGGCATTCGTGAAAGTACAAATTCATCTTAATAACCTCTTCAGATCCTTTATTAACCAAAATCATCGGAAGCTATAGCAGTAACTGTTATTATTCACAACTTTGGTAATACTCCTCAAACTTATTAAACTATGTTGATAGTAAAAATTCATTAAATCAAGCATTACATGAACGATACGCGAGGTCAAAATGACTTTAATGTAACGTAACGTGACGTTCAGTTACAAGTGGGATAACGTATATATAGATTTATCTTCAGAATCATTGGTTAGTTTAAATTTCAATATCTCACTTGCTTTAAGGTGTCCATGCGTGATATATAGATGCAAATCTTCGCTTATAGTTAGCCCTTGTGGATGAACAAGTCCGTGCTCTGACGTCACAATATGGCGGACGAATACACCATCTCTCGTGAACATTGATATCCGGCTGTTGTAATGATCGGCAACAAAAATATCCCCGCATTTGTTTGTGGTAACACCGTAAGGAGATTTGAATTGGTTACAACCCTTGCCAAAACAACCAACAGATCGAATGAACCTTCCTTTAGAATTAAACATCTTTATTTTATGATGTCCACTGTCGGAGATAATAATATCACCAGTGCTTGACACACAGACATAGGAAGGTTTGCTGAAACACTCTTCCTTATTATTAGGGTTACCAATAAATCGGATAAAGATTCCGTCGCTGTCAAACATAGAAACTTTGTCAGTCAAAGCGTCACAAACGATGAAATTACCTTTCTTATCAATAGCCAATCCTGCCGGCCTAACAAAATAATCTTTTCCAAATGTGTTTGTAACTTCACCAAACATGTTTAAAATTTTTACACATCGGTATTTGCTTAAAGTAACGGCAATCTTATTGTCTTTTGTTACCCCTACTGCCCACGGTAAATTTATTTCGTCTGGTGCAAACACGGTGATGGTTCTAGTAGATTCGTCGCAGATCTGTAACCTACTGTTGACAAAATCAGCAATTATAACCTGCTGACTTTTGAAGTATGTAATATGCTTGGCGTCCTCGAACTCTCCTATATTCTTACCCTTCTTTCCAAACACAGAAACAAAATAATCGTTATTATTGACCTCGTCGTAAGTAAATGTTTTATTATCATGACTCTCGTGATTTTGTTCGTTTTGTACCACAATGACGTCAGCATTCAAATCAGATACTTTCTCAGAACTCTCCTTGTTCCTTGCCCATCTGTCAGCGAAGTAATTCTCTGAAACAAATAAAATTACAGATTAATAAAGCGCGAGCGAGCACGTGGCATTTTCTACAATAACCTTTTTGGTTATTTCTATAAATATCCTTCACAATGTATAGGAAATGCACAGTTTATAAAAAGTGTTGGACAGACTTTTTGAAATTAATGCATTTTTTTAAAATTATAATCTTGAACATTTGTGATTTTAAATAATTGGTCGATCACTATTACAATAGTATATATAATCTAATTCACCTTAACTTGAAAAAATTAGCACAATATCAGTTAAATTATCTAGATATTACTAAAATTGTTAATGGATAATATCAAAAAGGGACAAATATCCACTAAAAATGTTAGATGGCTATGGGTGAACTTAATGAAAGTAATGAACCACTTAATTCTTCGTGTAAATATCTTCGTTACCTGCTAAGAAATGCTGCACGGAACCCGTTGAAAAACGTGGTCTTATAGCAGACTCGAAGGACACACTTCGTCCTTTCTTTCGTTTGATTGACATGGGGTCCATCTTATTCGTCGGCTGTTGCCTGGTCCGCAGTTCAAACTGACCACCTCTTGTCGAAAATGTTCTTTTATGTTCGGGAACATCAACTAATGTTAAGCTGAACCGCCGCATAAAAACTACAACAGTGAAATAAAAACTTCTAAACTATATGAATTGCTTAAATGTACAAGTAAAATTCTTGAGTATGTTGTTTTATGATATCAATATATATTGTTATATGTGAACTTTTTATGTGTTAACATGATTTAGTATCAGCAAAAATATGTGACTACAAAAGACAAATTAGGCAGATTTCGTCGAAAGCATGTTTACAGTATGTACCTAATCGTCTGTGAAATAGTATTAAAATCATAAAATACCGGTATTATAAATTAAAAGGACTGTAACAGATAACGTACACAAACTTTCCGCAAATAAGCCGGGTAAATCGTCTTTCTGATTTCCACATTTTCTGGATGATGATGCATTCATTTCAACATTCTAGATCTGAAATTCGATGATACGCTTATACTAATAAACATAAAGAATTTGACAGGTTATATAGCCATATATGAACGGTTGTTTGTTTATATAAATCAGACCGATTTCTGACAGGTTACATGACTCTATATAAACGGTTGTTTGTGTATAAAACACTTTTTCCTGACCGTACCAAATAGAAATTTAAACATTTAATTAATGCTCTTTCAAATACATTTTATATTTTGTTTAAATTTTTGAAAATCAACTAGCCACACTTACCTAAAGTTGTATTTTATTCCATTACCAATATCAAATCAAGATACATTTATAGATATCATAATGAAATAAAACGATTTCACCCCCTGCCGACATTCAAATCCAAGTTATCTCATAGGGAACCACATTTATATATCTGGGTTCAATAAATTTTGACAGACAGATTTGCAAATGATGGTGAGCTTTTTTCATTAAGTAATGATATTGTATCCGGTATTCTATTGCTTTACGGTTCAATTAAAATTTTGATTTCAATAATTATATTCAAATGCGCAATCATATTAATAAAAGTGTCGCAGTCTAAGTGTTAATTTTATTTAAATTTGAAAATACTGACCATAAAAGTTGTAGGGAAATCACCATACAAAATTGAAACAGATGCCAGATTTTATGTTTCAAGTAATAAATTATATAAAACATTGACATTTCATAAAGTTGTGTGATACCTTCACAACTAACTCAAATATGAAAAAGGTAAGGGAAAGAATGGATCGCCTTGTCTGTCTGATGTTGTGCGTTTTCAATAAAACAAACTATTCATGAATGTGTGAGTAATATATAAAACAATTATTCCTTTCTACAATTTATCAATTGGAAACATTTTTATACTGAACCAGAAATTATTAAATGAAATCACAAATTCACAATAACAGTATATGAAGCCGTTCTACCACATTGTACTCTCCCAATTCTTTATATTAAATATCAAAATATTCGCGTATCTACCTGTTGTAATTATATGTAATTAGATTACCAATATTTGAATTCATATTTTATATATGAAATCATACCCGTAATTTGGTACCATATTGGTATAATAACATAATTATAAATGTATTTTGTGTGTCGGGACGATAATGCAAGTGGTAGAAAAACGATTGCTTGTCGTGTTTTGACATTATCCGCCAATTAGCGAGAGTTATGGCAAGTTATGTCACTCTTCATAAGGATGCATATAGATTTATCATAATTTTCGAAGCGTGGTGATGCAGTAAGGCTGTTCAAATGCATACACTGAGTTTCATGGCTTCTGTTCCGCAGTCATGCTTTACTGCCGTCACGCTGTCCATCCATAGGCTGACAAACAGTAGAATATGAACACACCTGTGTCATATGTGACACATGCCCACAATACGGAAGTAATTACACGAAAAATAGTGTCTATGTTTAATGCTGAGTATTAATTAATTGAATGAAAGGCCTTGCAAAATCGGCCTTATTTACTAGAAGAGATAGGAAATGATGTGAATTTGGAAACAATTTGAATGTTAGCATATGTCCAATGATCATTTTTGACAGGGCGTGATTTGCCTGTTTACGGTCGTCATGACAGTAAATCTTCATGCGCACTTCATAAAAGTGATATATTTTTTAAAAAAAAGGAAGCTGGTCAACCCCACATTTACAGCAAAGAAATTCTGCTCTCAGATATTTCTACAAATTTCAATAAAATCATTTTTGTTTAGAACGTTTAAAAAATTGCATTTTTATTCAAAATCTATATAAAACATAGAGTAAAAATAAATGTCTTAGGTACCTAATGTACTGTTTACTTTTATATATATAAATTTAAGAAAGTTATTGTGGACTTTAACTTGCTTATTGGAATGAACTTAGTGAAACAATTCCCAGCATTAAATAACTATTTGTTTACATGCTTAGTTCCTTAACCTAGGTAAGATCGAAAAACAGTATCCGTTCTGTGTATTCTTACTATTCTATTCGAGGTCCTTATCTGAAGGTTGACGGAAAGGACCGAGGTGATGCTATTGTAACTGTTACATCGCGGCAATCTATTATATTAAAACAAAAGTGAATTATGTTTATAGTTTGTTATGCAATACATAAAAATGAAAAGCTGCCGCAAGCCAACCTCAAATGGTAATCTCACAGTCAATATTTCTTTGAGGGATGGGGGGGGGGGGGCGTGGCTGCGTTCCTAAAAAGCTTTCCCTTGTTGCTTTTTACTCCAAATTTACTCCTTTTATAACATCATGGTGTAATTTTTTCCTTTTTATCTACAATTATAAAATATCTAAAGTAGTATAATGCATTTGTTAAAGGCAATAAAATTTTACGCATCAAAGACACTACTAGTGTAGTAAATGAAAATTATACACAGTAATGTATTTTTATGGAGTTTAGGTCACACTGACTTTGTAAAGGCCATACGGTGAGTTTTCAGCTTAACTGGTGGATGAAGACCTTATATACCATTTAATTTCATTTTATGCAAAAGCAATAATCTGAGTAAAATAACCGACTTCCTGTTAGCTAGATAGATAACTTCTTCACATGAAAAAATCCATTTCCCCGACGAGATTCGAACCCACACCGGGTACCGGTGACGAGGGAAGTGTTTGAACACGGCGACCATAACCACTCGGTCTCGGAGACGCGCCGTGAAATGTATCATTAATTTTTACTGACAATAATTTCATAATGTTTTATTGCATAGCTGACATTTTAATATAGAAAAAGAAAATCCCACTTTATTTCAAATTAATCTAGTTGCCTTCAGTTTCGCAAAGAACTTGTAACTTCTGTATATGCCAGAGCAGAGGTACAGTGTGAATAACTGTAGAAAGGATTTGTTCTGTCACATTAATTCCACTCTGTTGTGAGGAATTCTGATGTGGTAAAATAAAAGTTTTAAGTATCAAGCATTTTATGAGTACTACTATCATGCATACAAACCCCTTTTGCTTTCCTTTAGCTATTTATGAAAATCGAACAAACGCTCCTAGTAAAATGGCTCGATAAGAAATAACCATTCGCGAGCCCGAACTTTTAATGTCACTGTCTCTTTCCTTTTGATAATTTGTTGTTTTTTTGTTGACTATTACTAACTAATTGTAATTATTATGATTAATAGATTGATACATATTATCATTGAAGAAAAGAAAAGAAAACAACATCTTGATGTTTTAAAACTAATTCTTTCTTAACCAATTGAAGCAAGTCAGACTGATTGAATGTGTATTTTTTAAAAGATATTTAGACATTTTGCCTTGAGGCAATTACTATCATGATGAAATAAATAAACATTAAATGTATTTCAATTTTGCTCTACATTTTCGTCATAATTCATTTCAAATAAACACCATGCGTGCCAGAAAAGTAGGTCAAAAACCCAGATAGGCGTTAATAATATTTAACAGCTTATTGTGGTATAGTAATTTATTCGAGTGCATCTAAGTATTAGTCAGACGCAAGTAATAAATCTATAATATATTTTAATTAAATAGCTATAAAGGTGCGACGTTAATAACAAAAAAATTTACCCTTATTGAAAAACATGCATTACCCCATTATTGCTCTGTAGCACCGCACTTTGAGGTCAAACATTTCACATCGCTCTTTGGGGTCGAACGCACTTCGGGGCCAAAATAAGTAAATAAACCCCAAAATGCATTAATATGCTACATATCAACGCACTTTGGATTCCAAAGCTTTCAAGGTATCAACTGAGTTCTGCTTAGATATTGAGTACTGACTTACCTTGAAATATTTATGGTGTATTTCAAAATGACGTTCGATATTAGTCATAGGTCATGTTCAAAAGACAGATTTAATTAGGTTTTATATGACTTATATATTACGCCTTTCTTGCACTTTAAAACAACTGAACTTAAATTTACTATATTATAGAAGTAAACTGTAGAGGCAGCAACTGTTAAATAATCATAATTACTTCATTTTAATGAGAGTACGGACTCTTTCTAGTTGATTAAACTGAGATCTTTTGTGCATGTTGTGCAAACAAAAAAATCTTATTTAGGGCCATTTAAATTTTGATGTAGCAATAATCAA